CCAGCACCACTCAGGTTTAGCCCAGTCATCATGATGATGGGACTCTGGGTAGGCCAAATAAGAGTGAGTGGCACTGCAATCCCAAGAGCCAGGTTACAACTCCACTCCCACAAATTTGGTCCAGTCAGGAGGGCCAGGGCCAACCTGAGAGGTGCTGCAGCCCCAGAGGTTGCAACCCCAGAGCGGAGAGCCAAGGCCAGCCAACCCCACAGCACAGGAGCTGCAGGAACTGCCATTGTGGAGTGAGTGCCAGGCAGAACACAACCTCACAGAGGGCAGGGGAGTGTCTGACTGACACCACCCCAGGGCCTCCACCCCCAGACTATTTACTGGATCACGGTAGACCATAAACATTTACAAATAGGTCCTGAGCCCAAAAAGTTTAAGAACCACTGCTGTAAATCATGATTTTCAGAGTTATAACAGAGCATGAAAAGTTACCCTGGACTGCAGTTTCCCCACACACAGTTAACCTGGACACACTTCTAAAAAAAAATCAAATTTGATTCAAATTGGTTTTGACGTTCATTTTGAAATTAATTTTACACAGCTATACAGCTACAGTAATTTGTGACAACTGCAGTACCTCTAAGGGCTCCGTGATAGCTGAGGCACACATCTCCACAATAACTGTAGAATGCCAGAGGCGTCAGCACAGTGATGGAAGAGCTTTTTATTTTTTAACAAAAGAGCCTGAATGAAGAAACAGGAGACTAAAATAGACAAGAAATTAGGGGAGTTCAATTACCCCAACCACCTCTCCACGGCTCTGGTTCAAAAAAGCATTCCTATCCTATCTAGAATAACACTTATGTATGTGTTTAAATCTAACTGACATGCTTCTGCAAGTGTCCTTGTGATACTGGTAAGTCATTGAATCGTTCAGAACAATCTTTACCATTTCTCAACAAGGGCCTGATCCAACTCTCATTGAAATCAACAGACTTCTCTTTGTTTCAATGGGAGCTGGATCAGACTCAAGGAGCTTTTTGGTGATAGGGAAACGCGCACCTTTCATTTTTGAAAGAAAACAAATTTCCTTCAACAGCGCCCATAAATATAATTGTACTGAATGTTTAAACTCAAACTCCAAAACTACACTGTTTCTATTACGAAGTTCCCACCAATAGCCTGAAGGCTATAAAACAAGACCATCCAACATGTGATATATGCCCAAATTACCCAAAGCATATATATCAGCCTTTGTCTGCACTCTGAATCTGCCCTCCTCCAAAGTAAACTAGACTAGATTCTTGAGATCTAGAATCTCCCCAAAGCAAAAGAGAAAACATTGCTATATGTTGCAGTGTTGTTGTAATTGTGTTGACCCTAAAACTAGTTCATAAAGGGGGAAACTCTGAAGATAAGAGATTTACATAAGACAGATGTAAAAATCTCTCTCGAGAAATAGCCATGTGGTATTATAAATAGGATAATTCCTCAGTGGAGAAGGTAATTTATGAAAATAAGAGAAAGGACACCAATAAGCCAAAGGAAAAGACCAAACATCTCTAAAGGTCAACACAACATGAAACACAATTAGGCTTGGAAAAACAGAAACAAAATTAACAGTCCTTTGTAAATGATCAGTAATGAAAATAAAAGCCTGAAAGACAACATCCTGATTTTGTCTCGATTTTAGCACAATCAATCAATCAAACCAATAATCATCCTTTGCAATTCTAGGAACCTTTCATCCACAGATCTCTAAGTGCCTTATAAACATTAATTAATACAATGTAAGTATGTAGGTAAGTATTATCATCTACATTGAATAGACAGGTACACTGAAGAACATAGAGGTTAAGTGACTTGCCCAAGGACACACTTCCACCAGATTATTTCATAAAAATATACTTATCCAATGCTCTGAGTGTCAATGATTTACATTATACTTACACAGTATATCTATATAGTTTACCCATTGCCAACAACATTGTTCTTATTCTAAAATGTAAGATCTTCCCTCCAAACCTGAAAATCTCCTGATCAACCCTTTCTGTCTGAAAAATTATTGGATAAACAAATAGACTTTGTAGCATGCTTGAAAGTCAACAAACTCTGGCTCCATTACACCATGGGGTTACAGGAAGAAAGCTCAAGAGCTCAGAGGTCTGGCCCCTACAAACACTCTCTCAGCATATTCTCTCCCTCTCCATCTCTCTTCCAAGTCATCTCTCCTGTCATTCTCAGACCATTTTCCTTTCTCTGTTCCCATCCCAACCTTCAAACTACTATTCTGTTGTCTCAAACTTAAGTGCCAGTGAAAACATAATTTCTGAAGAGTTTCAGAAAATTTTGGCCTCAGTTGTCCCATCCACTTTGAGGCATATGCTACAAAGTAAAGAAGTGTAGCACGCTCGACAAGACTGTTGGCCATGTGCGCAGCAGAGGGCAATAGGAATAGAACAAACTATATACACACACCTAGTGCAGTAGATGAAAATAAGTCATGACACTAGAAAATGGACGTGTGTCTAAATGAAAAGAACTTGTGCTCTCCAGATGCCTGATTTGACTCTGAAATGATTCCAACTCTTCCTGGTTATTCTTGACTTGAAAGGACACAAACTGGCTGTAGGGGAAGGGAAGTGAGGCACACAGGAGAGTAGGCCAGAACTGAAAGAAGATGTTTCTAGCAGATGGGGCCAGGACTAGTCAGGACTTAATGAAGATAAGATTCCCCCTCAACACAAGAAACACTTTGTTTCTCCTCAGAGCTCACAATGACCACCTCTTAATCCTTAGAAATTACCTAGTGTCCAAGGTGTTAAACATTTAGGAATTAGCCAGTTTACTGGTGGTTAAACTAAAGCCTTTTCTGCTCATCTTTTGTGGATGTCCAGCTGAAATCAAAGATGTCATGGCACATTTCAAAAATCACAGGGGATAATCCAGATCTTCTGTCTAACAGTGCATTTATTCTCGCAGTAATACAGAGGAGTGTGTGTGTGTACGTGTACAACTGTTGAACACATAACTGTCATGCTATCCTACACAGTCCGTCACTGTAATATAAAATTCGTTATTGGAAAATGCTTTCGAATACCGTGAGCACAGAAGAGCCTAAACAGAGCCAAACTGTATTTCAGTTCAAAAATGCAGTATGAACTCACCCGATCTCCTAGTTGAAAGAGATGTATTAAACAGTGAAAGCAGACAAATCAGTACTCAGTCTGAATGATCTGAGCTTTCCTGTCCACAACACAATGATTAACTGGTGTCTTTTTTAAAAATCAATGTATAATCTTGGAAACCACCTCGAGAATGAAGTTTGTATTCGACATTGCCAAGTAATGATGCAAATTATGGTAAAATGCATAGTGCATATCTGTTCCTGCTGAAGTAGGTGTACTTTACATTGTATCTTAGCTCTTCTGAAAAATTAAATTCTTTGTAAATACTAACACACAATTAATTGAGATGGGGGAACTTAGTTGTAGCAAATTCATTAAACCATAGTTAACAGATTGGCCAAATTCTGGCCCCAAAACACTCTTAGATCTTGACGTTCAAATCCAGACTTCACTGCTTGTTGGCCTGTAAAGGTGCAAATCAAAACTGTAGCTTGGTTTTTGGACTGGGGATTGGAAATCTTGGAGCTTGATCTAGAATAGTAATGTGCATCCAGCTTGATGGGTTGTTAGCAGAAAACCCAGACACAATTGGCATAATTGTGAAAAAGTAAAGGATGAGAATAATCCCGGTATCATACAAATTGTCTGCAAGGAAGATAAAAAAATGTAAACATTTAGTGGAAAAGTATTCATGAGAGAGACAAAAGATTTGGACAGCATTGAGCCTATTGCTACGAACATGCCATCTGTCTAGTTTGGGATAGATGCATATTTTCCTGTAGCTTTTTCTGGCATTTAGCTCTACTGTTTTTCAACTTCATTTCCTTCTGTATCGAGCATTCAGTATGCATCTGAGACACTGGTTGCTAAGGAATTTGATATTTATACTCCTTTGCTTTTCCACCAAAAGGCTGTAACCCTGAAAGTACTAGATGAATATGAGGAACTGATGGATTCTAACATGTGTAGAGAATAAAATCTTTTAGCTCATATCTCACCTTGAAATACAACTGATGCAGTTTTTAAAATCATGATCTTCTCTGTCTGCCTTGCACAGAATGTTAGTAAAGTTCGTAAGTTACATATATTCTAACAATTTGCTTCCTGCAGAATCTCTTTCAGAATTTTGCCTTTTAAGGCACAAAATGCATTTACCACTCCTAAAAAGGCCACTAATAGTTTTCAGTAAACTCTTCTAAAAACAAATCCAAGCTTTATGTTTCTGAATACACTATCATTTAGTCTAATTTGCTACTATAGCTCGGAATTAAAGAACAAATTGTCCTGAGCACAAATTACCATGCCTGCTTGTTTGATGTGTACCTTTAACAAATTAATGATGCTATCCTCCCTTCTTTTTCTGATGTATAGTACCTGCTGATAACACAGCTTCTTCAACCACCAGAGGGGCCAATTAGAGAGGCTACTAAATAATTCATCAAGACATGGATTTGTGCAAAAATATAGTGCAAACATAACTTGCAGGTTTCATACAAAAAGTAAAAATTAGAGGCTACTAAATAATTCATCAAGACATGGATTTGTGCAAAAATATAGTGCAAACATAACTTGCAGGTTTCATACAAAAAGTAAAAATTAAAGGAACCCCTTGTAAAATTTATTGGACTATTTCATGAGCAACCTTCTAACAAAAATGCTCAATATTATTTTATTGAGATTTATTGCAAATCTTGAATCTAATTTACTCAATGATGAACTTTCCCCAAAGAGCACACACAACGCACACCAACAAAATGCAGCAGTACCTGGCTAGTTCTGACCCTTTGGATGAAAAAAATGCTATACAGTGGCTATCAAATAGCACTGTACCTCACCCTTCATTGTGTAGGGCTGGGAAGGAGGGGCGTTTAGAAAATAACAACAGATATTCTTTTTTTAATTAATGGAAAAAAAGATGCACACCTTACTCTTTTCTTGTTGGAGCTCTATTTGAATGTCTGTGAGTTTTGTCCTGAGCTCTTCATTGGCAGCTTGTAAGGCAGCTAAGGCATCAGGTTTTTCTCCCTTAGCTCGGCTGCTAGCACTCTTCTTTGACATTGTGAGGCAGCGTGACAGGGAGGGTGAAATCCCAAACAGAGAGAACCCTCCGTTCCACCACTTGAGGTTTCTCTTCCTTGCTTCTGTCCTCTACATTTTCTTATTCACCTAGAAAGAGGAAAAACAGAACTGCCGTGAAAGCGCCAGAGTTTAGCGGGATTCACAATTAGCAAATAAGAATAATGCAAGATTCATTTTTGTAGTGACTTCAGACAAGATTTCAAAGCAGTTCATGAGAAGTTATTTCAGAGTAATAAAATGTGTCACAGTGACTAATAGCCCGCAGTTTTCCCCCAGTGCATCAACTTACACAACTCAGCAAGATTATGGTAAACAATTGCCAACAGAATTTTTAATTTTCATGTATTTATGAGGAGGAATTAATGTTTCAAACAACAGACTACAACAATATTATAAAAACAGGCAGTGTCTCGGAGAGTCCTCTTAAAGGTAATATGGACTATATGTTAAAACTATAGAAGAAGAGACCTGAAGATAACTCTCTGTAAGTTCGAGAGCTTGTCTCTCTCACCAACAGAAGTTGGTCCAGTAAAAGATATTACCTCACCCACCTTGTCTCTCCACTACTTTAATGTCACCCACTGGGAGTAGTGTAGCACAAGATTGTTCCATAATAAAAAATCTGAATTGGGGAAAGCATAATTAAACATACACAGAATTTACAATAGTGGATGTGTAGAAATTAGGATGCCAAATTATCAATGAAAATAAAAGATCTTATAAATCAATACTCTTGAGATAAGGGGGTCAGTAGAGTTACTGAGAACAGCAGTTACCACCCGCTTTTTTTTTTTTTTTTTTTGGATGCTGAACGCATTCTGCGTATCAGAGGTTTGGTAGGATTATTTCTTTTCTATGTTCCTGGCAAAGAAAAATAAAGCTAAAATAAACATATTTGTCAAACTGGTTGAAATTCATCCCTTTGCAGAAAGCTACAGCATAAAGCTTACGTACAATACCCTCTTTTGGGGGCTGATGTCAAGCTTACATGATGCATAAGCCTTGTGCTTTCTATACAAAAGTAAATGCTACCCAAGGAGAGCAGTTATTAGGATTTGTCTCTATGTGATCCAATTTCACACAATTCTTAGTTTACAGACAGTCCATGAAAATTGCTCGTCTAGTCACTGGAACAAAAGTCTGTGCTACACAAGTTATCAACAAGTCACTCAAAGTACCTCATTTCTTCCCCATGATCTATAATTACAGTTCTATTTTTCAGTAGCTTGAGCATATGTCATTTCAAAACAACAAAAAATAGTCAGGAAAGACTGTTCAGAATGTTAAACTCAATCCACTCTTGGTCTATTACTTGGTCAGGAGGATGTGGACACATTGTGTGAGCTTATAAGTCAATGCCCCTGTCTGTCTATTTCTTCTTTCACTCAAGGTAAAATTTTATGAACCTGCTGTTTTTATAAAAAAAAAAGTATCTTGTTAAAACACTGTAGTGATTCCACATTTATGTACGAACTAAAGATTCCTAATTATCCCAACTGCTGCCAAGGTTTCCTTTTATTCCTCTTTCACTCTCCTGCTTAGTTGTGAGAATCATGTCTGAATATTGCCAAATCCCCATTGTACTTCATGTCTCTTGCCACTTAATAGAGCGGGGCAGGAATCATTTGTTTTCATCCCAGGAGAGTTTTTGAGATTCAAAAATGTTTTTTCATCTTGAAACAGAACAAAAAGTCAGAAATCTCAAATATTCCCACAAAATGAAAATTGAAAGAGAACAAACATTTTGGAGCAGGTCAGGCAAAATATCTGACAATTTCAAAACACTGTATTTGGATTCTGACCTTTTAAAATGTAACCCTTTTTTTAGTATAAATTAATTAAAATTTCACAATGAAAAGTTGTTTTGAATCAAAGTTCTTTTCTCTAGCAGCATGGTCAGAAACAACAACAGATATTACATGGCTGTAACTTTCAGTCTCATTAGGACAAGATCAGAGGACCCCACACCCCAGAATGGGTGGCTCTGGGTTAGAAAGTCCTTGCCCTGAAGAACCTGAGGCCCACTGTAATAGCTGATAGGTTGGGCCCTACCAAATTCTTGGCCATTAAAAACGCGTCACGGACCGTGAAATCTGGTCTCCCCCACCCCCATGAAACCTGGCCTTTTGTGTGCTATACAGATTTTATGGGGAGACCAGCCTTTCTCAAATTGGCAGTCCTGACCCAAAAGGGAGTTGTGCAGGGGGGGAGGGGGTCACCAGGTTATTTTAGGGGGATTGCGGTATTGCCATCATTACTTCTGTGCTGCCTTCAGAGCTGGGCAGCTGGAAAGTGGTGGCTGTTGGCCAGATGCCCAGCTCTGAAGGCAGAAGGGCTGCCAGCAGCAGCACAGAAGAAAGGATGGCATGGTAGGATATTGCAATCCTTACTTCTGCGCTGCTGCCTTCGGAGCTAGGTGGCCGGAAAGTGGCAGCTGATGACTGAAGGCCCAGCTCTGCAGGCAGCAGCGCAGAAGTAAGGGGGGCAATACCATACCAGGCCATCCTTACCTCTGTGCTGCTGCTGGCAGCCCTTCTGCCTTGAGAGCTGGGCTCCCGGCCAGCAGCTGTAGCTCTCCAGCTGCCCAGCTCTGAAGGCAGCACTGTAAGGGTAGCAGTACCGCAACCCCCGCTACAATAACCTTGCGACCACACCCCCTGCATTTCCGTTTTGGGTGAGGATGCCTACAATTAAAACACTGTGAAATTTCAGATTAAAAAAGCTGAAATCATTAAATTAACGATTTTTAAAATCCTATGCCTGTGAAAAGAAAAGCAGTACTTGTGGCACCTTAGAGACTAACCAATTTGATTTGAGCATAAGCTTTCGTGAGCTGCTCACGAAAGCTCATGCTCAAATAAATTGGTTAGTCTCTAAGGTGCCACAAATACTCCTTTTCTTCTTGCGAATACAGACTAACACGGCTGCTACTCTGAAACCTGTCATTATGCCTGTGAAATTGACCAAAATAGACAGTGCATTTGGGAGGGCCCTACTGACAGGGTTGTAGCAGAATGCCAGCAACCTGGCTGCAAGCAATCTATTACTGAATGTTAGTGGTTCAACTTGATCTCCATGGGCAAATGTTAATGACAGAGAGATCAAGAGAGCGTGTTAAAGAGAAGAAATGGATGTTCCTTCCTGTACTCTCTTTGGACTATGGATAAGGAAGCCCATTTTCTTCTTTCTTTAAAGGTGAACCACAACACACACACAAAGAAACAATCATCATCTACCTTTACTGCTCCTTTATACATAAAGATGACAATGATTTCTTTAAATTGTTTTCCTTCTTTATAATAGAAATATCAATCATTTTATTTCCTGATTTCCTTATTTTCCCCTGAAGGACTTCGAAAATCTTTAGAAGATCTGAATAATGACATCTTGTTTACAGGCTGAAACCTGAGCCGCAGCTGGTCTGGACGTCTACCTGGGATGTAGAAGAAAGATTCAACATTCTGTCCCAACTCTCTTGAAAGGCAAGGGTTTTTCAATTACAATGTTCCATTATTTCCAATATTTCTATGGAGAAAACGCAAACCGATTTTTTGGAAAGCTTTCTGGGGAGATCTTTATACATCATAAAGTCACAGTAAAGGGCAGAAACAAAGACTGCTTTTGTTTTGTGTGTAGTTCAGCTTTAGGGCCCCACTCCTGCAAATAGTTATATATGTGCTTAACTTTAAACATGTGAGTAGTCCAATTGACTTGAATGGAACAACTCATCTGCTTAAAGTTAAACACAGGATCTTCCAACTCATTGCACATGGGCGAATAGGACTGGTAAAGAGACTGGGTTTAGGAGATTGTGAGAGCAGAAAAGGCTTGGGGACAGGACTGGGCGCTACTGGAAGCAGTGGAAAATAGATTGGACAAAGCATGGTGTGGATAAAGACTGGGACTGGCTGGAGAGAGAGACTGGGACTTGGAAGGAGATGTGGAAGACTGTGGAAAAAATAGCATGTGATCATGTAATTAAAGACTGCATATGCACTAGACAGCTGAATTAAGATTGTATGAGCAACCGTAATTATGCCATTTCCTAACTTTTGAGTACTTGACTCTGCAACCTTAAAGTTCTTTTAATATATTTTTTTGTTTAATACAATTTACAGAAAAAGCAAACAAAAACTGCTGATATTATAAGAAAATTCTACAATTCGGTAAACCTAGCCTTCTTTAGCCTTCAAAATTTTTGCTTCTTGCATTAATGAGATCTATTAATTTAGTGATTGTCATATGTCAGAGGATTTTCACTATGAAAAACTTCAGTTCATACAGACCAAAACTGGAACAGTCTATAGCCACAGGCGCTGAATTCTACTGTAATAACAAAGTACTCATGCATATTACTGTTATTTTCTTAAGCCATATGTTGCAAAGATGGACACAGTAGGTGTGGTCAGGGGTTGTTTTAGATCCTGAGCAGATTAGAGGCATATAAAACAACCTTATAGCAGTTTAGATTTGAATATCAGATACATAACAATCTGAAGAAAACTGGTATTTATGAGATTAGTTTTATTCAGCCAGGTTTATTGTTCTGACAGACTGTGAAAGACTTGATTTTTTTAAATTGGGTACTGGATACAAAATCAAATAATTGATACAATGTGCTAAACATAAAAATACTGTAAATTGTATGTTACTAGGCGCACTACGGACTAACTCAACAGCTGTGGGATAATATAGGTGATGATGGGGGCTATGTAGCCACCCCCATTCCACAATCAGTACATTGGAGTGAATAGTTAATCTATGTAGAAGCACAGCTACTGGCCCCATCTCACAAACCCCTGCCTGTTTTGAACCCAAAGAGCTGCTGCTAATTGCTGCAAAGGGAGCCCCTGTGAAGTTGGGCTTCATGTCACACAGGGGAGTACATCCCTGTACAGGCTCTCAAATTCCAGCCTCTCTCCTGTGCAAAAGATTGCTAATGATTCTTAAATAAACATAGTTTTTTTGTAACCAAATATATTATAGCACGCCCTGTTATGCTTATGCTCAAATAAATTGGTTAGTCTCTAAGGTGCCACAAGTCCTCCTTTTCTTTTTGCAAATACAGACTAACACGGCTGCTATCT